ACAATAAACATTTATGCTGATGACCTTTACACCTTGTTTTAAGTATGGCTCCACATCGCACACATTAATATGATAGGAATTTTATTGACTCCACAACCTTGTAACATCTGAATCAGTGTCAAAGCTGCTGCAAGTGAAAATGTGTGGGACTTTTAATACATGTTTCAACAGACTGGATATTATGATGTGATGTGGAGAGAGCTTAGGCCAACAAGTGACCCAAATAGGTTTCAAGAAAGGCTGGCAGCCATTAAGGCTGAAATCTGTCAGTAAGTTGTTTTTTGACCTTTTTTAGTGAGATTATCAAAGCAGACTCAACTACTTCCAGCCCCCAACATTAGCCACCACCAAATATGGTCATGTGATTTCTAGATTTCCTGCCTTTAGCATTTGTCATTTGCTTAGTTTAGGGAACTAAGATAACTTTAGGTTTGTTCTTAAGGTGTTTTCTGTCTTTTCGGTTAAAACAATATGTTCCTACGATATACAGTAAAAACTTTTTAAAATTTCTTCTTGGTATGGTGTGACTGTGCTTATCTAGAATGTTCACTACTTGGTTTATAATTCAGGGTAAAGAACACAAATTTAGCTAAAAATGTATCCCAAACCTTAACAATTTAAAAAGGATATTAAAGATGCAGTAATACATTTGGTTCAAACAGGAAAAAAAATATTTTGCATCTTCTTATAATATGGTATTATTAGGCAGAAATTTGACTAGTAAACTATTTCATATACAAATTTTTATTGTTATTTGTATCTGATGGTACAAAAAAGTAGCTTTTTCTTCTTAAAATATACATATATCAACCAATCTGCATTGACTTTGTTCTCTTCCATGTATTAACCTCTAAAGTTTATCTGCTACCTTAAAGCTGATGTCAGCTACTCTTAATTTCACACCCAATAACTTGATACCTTACCAGTGGTTAACCTAGACTGACAGGTTATAGCGTGATTATACGATGGTAACTAATGAGGATTTAACAACGATTTTATAAAATATAAACCTAATTGACCTTTGAATATAATGATACACACGGTGGGTGTAGCTATACCTTCAGTGCTTAATAGCTCTATAAATGAATATGCAAAGAAATGGATTAATAGAGCAATGAGTGTTGCAGTTAAAGTTTATTAACACCATAGTATTAGATCAATGCAGCCACCATAAAATGGTCATTGTCAGGAACCACTGCTATATTCCTTAATTCATAAAGTTTCTAAATAACTTACAGCAGCAATTGAGCAATACGAATGTGAAGATCAATGAGCTGTTCTTTAATTTTAATCATGTAGCCAAACCCAGGCCAGAAAAAAACTCACATCTTAGCTTAACCGATTATGCTAAAAATACATTTCTCTTTTTATTTAAATGTATTTTATTTTTAGCAGAACTTATTTAAAACTTTGGATGTTAACAGCACAAATTCTAGATACAAATCATTCTTTTCACATAGGTTTAACATAAGTGGCTGTTATCCTGAAAATGATCCCCACCTTCTGTTGATGTGACACCCCTTAAAAAAAAAGTACATTATGTTGTTGAGCTGACTGTTGAGCAAAATCCATTTTAAAAGAGCTTTACAAGTGTAGACTGAGGATAGTATCAATGCTACAGGACCCACTACCTTCAGACATTTGCAGGACAACAGTTGTTGATTCAAGTTATTTCTGAACCACAGAAAACATAAATGATTTACAAATTACCTGGAAAAAAAGAAACACTAAATAAAATGTGCTTGAGGCTGTGGAAGTTTCTATAGAAAATTATACATCAAGCCACTATGAACCCAAGAAACCTTCACATAGCCTAGATATGTTGAAATCCTTCTGTCAGGCCACTTGTTTAGCAGAAAGAACATTAGAAGCATTAAAATAATTACGGTTTATGCATTCTTCCTTTAGAAGTAATTGTGTGGATGAGTTCTATCTTTTATTGGAGCATAGGAGCCATTTACTGCCAAATTTAACTCAGGACATTCTGTGTTCTGGTATTTTTCCGTCATAGTTTAGTGAATGTTAAGTGACCCTGGCCTGGATTCATCAACTGTTTAGTTTCAGCAAAAAAAAAAACAAAAAAAAACTTTAGACTATAGGCCTCATATCACCAGCATGTATAAAAGTATTTTCCATTATTTTCTATTTTACTGTATCTTTATCTTTTTTGGGGGTAGAACATTTTTCTCCATTCATTACCATGGTGGTGACTTATAGTTAAATAACGTCCCACATTAATTTTTTTAAAAATCGATTGTTATACAGGACCAAATCTAGTGCAAGTTATCCTCATTACCAAAGTTGGCTTACTTGAAAGGTTTTCCTGTGCTGTATACGCTTTATGTGCTCACTATTTGATCAGGGTTTTTTTGCATGAATTGCTGCATCAGTGCACAATGATGTTGGGTTGCTCCGTTGTTGCCCTTCTGGTCAAACTTTTGCGTATAGCATACACTTAACTGAATTGTTCAATTAAGTTTATTTTTCTATTCAGTTTATTTATGCAGCTCAAATTCCCAACATATGTCATCTCAAGACAATTTATGGAGACAATACAATTCGAGCATACAGTCAAATTGGTAAAACCTTTTTTTTATCTAACTAAAACCAGCTTATTACTGACTACAGGACATGCTCTTCCTGGATGAGCATATGGTGACAGTAGATATTCGCCTGCATTGTGTCACTGACTGTACAGCAATGCCTCACACTGAGCATGCATGTAGAAGTGGAAAGAAAGACTCCTTTTAACAGGAAGAAAGTTCCAGCAGAACCAGGCCAACTTGGCTTCTTCAGCTTCAGTTTCTTTTTAATGACTGGTTAAAAACAATAACCTCAGTTTGTCTGCATTAAAAAGCAGAAAGTTTAGTCATCCAGGGTTTTTTTTATGTCTCCAAGACATGTCTGAAATGGGTTAGTTTCACCGGGATTTATGGACAAAGATAGCTGAGTATCATCAGCATAACAATGGAAGTTAATCCAGTACTGTTTGATAATGCTACCAACTCTGAGCTTATATACTATATATATATATATATATACACTATATTGCCAAAAGTATTTGCTCACCTGCCTTGACTCACATATGAGCTTAAGTGACATCCCGTTCCTAATCCATAGGGTTCAATATGACGTCGGTCCACCCTTTGCAGCTAGAACAGCTTCAACTCTTCTGGGAAGGCTGTCCACAAGGTTTAGGAGTGTGTTTATGGGAATTTTTGACCATTCTTCCAGAAGCGCATTTGTGAGGTCGCACACTGATGTTGGACGAGAAGGCCTGGCTCTCAGTCTCCGCTCTAATTCATCCCAAAGGTGTTCTATCGGGTTGAGGTCAGGACTCTGTGCAGGCCAGTCAAGTTCATCCACACCAGACTCTGTCATCCATGTCTTTATGGACCTTGCTTTGTGCACTGGTGCACAGTCATGTTGGAAGAGGAAGGGGCCAGCTCCAAACTGTTCCCACAAAGTTGGGAGCATGGAATTGTCCAAAATGTCTTGGTATGCTGAAGCATTCAGAGTTCCTTTCACTGGAACTAAGGGGCCAAGCCCAGCTCCTGAAAAACAACCCCACACCATAATCCCCCCTCCACCAAACTTTACACTTGGCACAATGCAGTCAGACAAGTACCGTTCTCCTGGCAACCGCCAAACCCAGACCCGTCCATCAGATTGCCAGATGGAGAAGCGCGATTCGTCACTCCAGAGAACGCGTCTCCACTGCTCTAGAGTCCAGTGGCGGCGTGCTTTACACCACCGCATCCGACGCTTTGCATTGCACTTGGTGATGTATGGCTTGGATGCAGCTGCTCGACCATGGAAACCCATTCCATGAAGCTCTCTGCGCACTGTTCTTGAGCTAATCTGAAGGCCACATGAAGTTTGGAGGTCTGTAGTGATTGACTCTGCAGAAAGTTGGCGACCTCTTCGCACTATGCGCTTCAGCATCCGCTGACCCCGCTCCGTCAGTTTACGTGGCCTACCACTTCGTGGCTGAGTTGCTGTCGTTCCCAAACACTTCCATTTTCTTATAATACAGCTGACAGTTGACTGTGGAATATTTAGGAGCGAGGAAATTTCACGACTGGATTTGTTGCACAGGTGGCATCCTATCACAGTTCCACGCTGGAATTCACTGAGCTCCTGAGAGCGACCCATTCTTTCACAAATGTTTGTAAAAACAGTCTGCATGCCTAGGTGCTTGAATTTATACACCTGTGGCCATGGAAGTGATTGGAACACCTGATTCCAATAATTTGGATGGGTGAGCAAATACTTTTGGCAATATAGTGTATATATATATATATACTATGCATACCATATATCCCTATAGAATGTTTAAGGCCTTTCTAAAAGAATATTCAGATCAACTGTGTCGAATGCAGCACTGACATTTAACAGGACAAGTACAGATATAATCCCATTATCTGAGGCAAGATAATGAATTGTTGGGTTTTTCATCTATTGCTGGAGAAAAAAAAATATTTCTTTTGAATGAGCATTGTGGCTAATCATATTTGTTGATTGTTTATACTTGAAAATTTAGAATCCTATGTTATAGTTAAAGTTTCTGAGATAATGAATTATAAACATTTTCATTCATAGGCTATAACGCATTTCAATTTTAATGGAATGTTTTCAGAGACTGTTACAGCATCAGGTTTATCCTCATGCTTTCTCATGGGAATTAAAGCTCCATTGTTATCAACTTCCCTTTTTTGGTTGCAATGTACACTCCCAACACATGATCATAAAGTGATTAAATTTGCTGCAAACTCTGTTGACAGAACACCCACTCTCATCCCCATTTTTAATGCATGCTCATGACTTACACATGTATGTCAGTTTATATCAACAGGAAACTGTAGTTTCCCTTTACATGATGTTACACACTACCTCAGAGCGTCCACCCACAAAGCCCTCCCCTGTCCAAAACAGCCCTCCCTGTGTCCTTGTGCATTTGCCCCTCCCTTTGTCAAGTATCAACAAGCAAACTTTAAAGTCCACACCCCTGCACGACTATGAACATGCTAGTATCATTTACCATCAGGAGCTTACATAAGAGCTGTTGTGTTACTGACATTATCGTGCAGGGCATTTTAGATTTGATGGGTAACTACTAAAAGCCTAGCTATGAAATGTATTGCATTTTGGGATGGGAGTGATCCTGGACTGTGCAAATGTTTGGAAGATTAACAAGGAGTGGCTGTTTGGTTGTTTCCCAACTCTTGGAGTGTAAGAGGTAAGGAATTTTCCTGCTTAATGATAATGTAGGAGTGATCATACCTTTAGAATATTCATGTTCGCTGTACGTCCCTTTAACCTTTCATGAGCCTTGTTATTCTCTATCTATTTACAGCAAACATTTAAATCCCAAGGGTTGAATTTTTGTTTAAAAGATCATTTTTCACTTTTAGCAAGAATGGACCTGACGCTCTGGCAGTACCAGTTCAGGATCATCATGCTGGGGGATTCCACTGTGGGCAAATCATCCCTACTAAAACGTTATACTGAGGACTTGTTTTTGGAGTCTATCAACCAGACAGTGGGTGTAGATTTTTACGTTCACTTCCTTGAGGTGGAGCCTGGGGTCCGGGTAAAGCTGCAGTTCTGGGACACAGCTGGGCAAGAGAGGTTCAGGTGAGAATCATATTGGATGTTGCTTAACACCTTTTCTAAAGACATTTTTTATTCCATGGCTCCATTATACTGTTGGATGTATGATTATACTAACCAGCCACTTTAGTAGGTATTCTGTCCCTTGACCAGGCAAGAGTCCCATTGTCCTTTGTAATCACCTTAAATCTTTGTACCCAGCCTTTAATGCTTTTGAAGAAACATTTTGGAGATTTTTTGTTCTCTGGATAGAATCACACATCTGCTGCTGATTTCCCTAGTGCACATCCATGATGTGGGTCCTGTGTCTCACCATATCCCAAAGATGCTCCAATATGTTAAGATCTGGTGCCTGTGGAGGCCATTGGATTACAGTAGACTCATTATAATGTTCAATAAACCGGTTTAAGATGATTTGACCTTTTGTGACATGGTGCATTATCTGGCTGAAAGTAACCATCAGAACTTAGGTATATATGGTCAATTAGGTATGGAGATGGTCCACGATAGCATTAAGGAGGCTCTGATGTTTAAATAATATCTGCCTGATTCAATTTGGGTCTAAAGTTTGCCAAGAAAATATTTTAACACTATGACTGAATCCACCTTTTATTTTATTTGTACCTAATTCTAGCCTAACAAGCTGAACATCTCAAATAGACTCATTGGACGAGGCAACAATGCTTCTATTCGGTCATTGCTCAGCCATACTGCTATAGTCTGTTTCAGGTATTCTTCCAACCTTTGTTATTACAAGTAGTAACTTGTACAACCTTTGCCCTTGTATCATTTCAAATCCAGACTGATCATTCATTTCAATCCTTTGACATCATTAAGGTAGTTTTGTGGAGCCAACAGCCATGCTATGTGGACCTTTTTTCCTTTTTCAGACAATTCACTGCAAACCTGAGAGATGGTGTGAAAACCCGAGAAGATTAGCAGTTTCTGAAATACTCATTGCAACACGTCTGACAACAATAATCATTTAATTGCTGTTGTAATGCTGCTGTAACACCACAATTTCCCCATTTTATGACAATAAATTGATTTTTATTCTATTCTATTAATGTTTATTTTCCATTTCTGCCCATTTCTGATGGTTGGATTCAACCTTAGCAACTACATTAACCAGATCTAAAGACCCAATATGAAATAAATGCTCCCTCAGGATTTGCAGAATCACCTGTGTTAGAACATGATCAAACAGCTCTGCCTAATAATATGTCAGGTAAGAGTTTATTACACTTGCATAAAACTTCTGTAAGCACTAAGCCTGGTGCTACAGCCCTTAAGCTGTTTTTATTAGACAGTTATCTTGAAAACACTATTCTCATTGTGAACATCATAGAACAGTTGAAGTGTATGCAAATGCAGCACCCAAACGAACCACTCCAGTTTCCTCCAAGCTGTTGATCTGTGTTTACTTACAGCCAGCACCAGCTCAGTGTGCAATGTGTACAGAAATGCAGCCGCTGCAATCCTTCAATAGGGGCACCTTTGTCTTTACTCAGCATATTAATGCAAGACTGGAAGTAGCCTGTTTCATTTTGCCTCTAAATCATTATTTCTGTTGTCCAGTTGAATGAACTGTGTAAAATTGCACTCTGAGCCCGTTTGTATTTACCTCAGCTCTGCAGTCCAACCAGTCAGCTAAAAAGAAAAGAAAAAAAAAGTTGCGGTAGTTTTTAATGAAGTAATAAAGTTGCATCCGTGGGAGGCTGTCTCACTAAGCCTGTTTTAAAAACAGTCGGTGACTCATGGGAGATCTCCACACTTGTTGATAGTTAAACAGAGCAGCTATCAGTTACTAACAAAGAGAGAGATTCTTTTACTACCTTCTTATCTGAAAGAATTTGACTCACACGATTCAGCTCAGTGAAGAAGGAAATAAGATGAAGTATAATCTGAACTTTGGACTTTCTATTTACTTTATTTTGTGTTAAATAATCAAACAATCCTCCCAGATTGACTGTTTCTTTTCCCCCTTGCCCCATTTCCCTTCTCAGATCAGTGACCCGTTCCTATTATCGCAACTCAGTTGGAGGACTGCTTGTGTTTGACATCACCAGCAGGCAATCCTTTGACCATATAAAGGAGTGGCACGCTGAGGTGTGTGAGCGAGTGCAGCCACAGAAGGTTCTGTTTGTCTTGGTGGGTCAGAAGATTGACCGGGATGCTGATGGTGAGAGAGCGGTGAGTCAGGGAGAGGCCCAGAAACTGGCCGGACAGCTGGGGATGCCCTACATCGAGGCTTCTGCGAAGACTGGCAAAAACGTGAGGGAGTCATTCGAGCTCCTTACTCGGAGGGTCTACCAGGGTCTGTTAAGCGGAGAAGTGCAACTGCAGGAGGGCTGGGATGGTGTCAAGTGTGTTGCTCCACAGGCGCTGCAGTCAAAAAGAAACAGTGTGTCTAAACCCAGCTCACCGACCAATAACAACAAAAAGTGCTGTGGGTAAATACTGGACTGAGAAACCTATGCTGCTGTGCAAGCTGGAAGGTTGGATTAATGGTGCCACTGGGAAATGTAACCACCCTAAAAGACACTCAAAATGTACTTTTGTATCTATAAGTGGAAAGTTCTAAATATTTATGAGATATTAAACCCTTGATGATAGTTTTGAAATGTATTAGTTTTTTACCAACACTTTGACATCTATAGTGCCTTCAATTCAAAACAATAAAAAAATGAGTACCCATACTTTGAGCAGGTAAATAAGATGAGCAGCCAATGGAGCATTTTTACCCTTAAAATATAAGATATTTAAATATTAAGCACTTGAGATAGTCAGTGGCAGTTGTTTTTTCTTATTCTAAATGGCAAAGGGTCTCACTTACCTCATCAATTCAAGACAAAAAATGCTATTTGAATAAAAATTACTTAGATTGAATGTTTTGCTGTGTTGCATATATATCTATACCTCTTATCTTCTCATTTTGTCATATTGCTGCGTGGCATAGATTTTCACTTCAATTTCAATTCAGTTTATTTATATATAGCTCCAATTCTCAACAGCATTTTAACTCACAGATATGCTTTGATCTTGCTGTTCCATTGCAGATCTGTCTGTGTTTGTGCCACCATTGCATTGCTTGAAAACAAACATCCAGCCTATTGTAATTTATGCTGGCTGTTAACAGGTTTCCTCCCAGGACTGTCCTGTATTTTGCTATGTTTTGTGTGTTTTTTTTTTTTTTTTTCCAACCCTGGCCAGCTTATCTGTTGAAGAAGAGAAACCACACAACATGATATTAACAATATTAAGTGTCCCAGTGGAATGGTGTTTTTACATGGATAGCTACAAGGTTTCCAGGCATGCATAGAATTTGGTTTATAAGTTCTGTTTTGGTCTAATCTAGCAAGGACGGCTTTTTCATTTTTTCATGTGTGACTTAGAATGCCATTCTTAACAGCTTTCTTCTGGTCACTTGTTCATAAAGGCTAGATCTTTGAAGGGCAAGGCTTCACAGATTATCTCACCTGAACTGTTGATCTCTGCAGCTCCTCCAGTGTTACCACGGGCATCCTGGCTAATTCTCTCATTAGAGCTTAAGCTTTTGTTATAAAACTATTGTTTTATAAATTAATCCTGCTTAAGTCTCCAATTCTTGTTCGCTTAGCCTGTGGTGTGTTCCTTGATCTTCATTATTCTGCTTTTGCACTAATGTTTTCTAACAAAACCTGTTCTTTACTGAATCGTTAGTTTTATACAAATGAAAAATTGCATACAGGTAGACTCGATATAGTAAATGTTTAGTGAAGTCACTGTTTTTTATTCAGGAGGTCTCAGATTAAATAAGTGTGAATATAATGTATATGCACACCAAATGTATCATATTTCCATCTGTAAGGTTATTACTGTCAGTCCATTTTACTACATTACATGACTTAGTAGGGGTCATATTTAAAATCTCCAGTGAAGTTTATGGTTGTGATTTGACATAAATTGAATAAAGGTTTAAGGGGTCTGAACATTTTTGTAAGGTGCTGCATTTACCTAAATGTAACACCATCACAAATATTAGCTTCCTGGTTCAGGTCCTCTCTCTCTCTTTTATTTTTTTTTATAAAGGGCAGCAATGTTTTTGTAAAGAACATATCTGATATTCATATATTTTATAAATTTGAGAATAGTGTGAATTCTTATAACCAAATAAGATACCAAATAGCTTTTTATATTTACTAAAGTTTTTTCTCCCTCCTTTATTATGTCATTGACCCACAGCCTATTGCACTAATGGACTGATGAGTCCAACATTTAATCGCAGTCTAGGAGCAAAACAGCTGTAAGAATTAATATCCTGGAGTTTGCTTTTTGCATAAGTTGTTAAAAATAGAAATTATTCTCACTCTTTCACAAATACATTCAAACTGAAACGTGGTAATATCCCATTTTTTCTTTCATCTGAACCAGTAGCACATACTGGATAAGTGCTTTCATTATATTTCATACTTTAAGAGGGGCCTCAAGAAATGTCTCAGAGATGTGGTGTCAGGCTTTTAGGGGAACACTATCACTAAGTGAAACAGCAAATAAATGTACCTTTGACATATAAATACACTCATGCTGTAACTTAAAACAAGGAGCAGAGGTATTTCCTTCCTGTAACTTGTTTGTACCAGGGAGCAGTTAAAACATACCATTGTCCCTATTTAGCTTAAAAAATGTCCTTATCTTAGATCTTCGTAAAGAAAAGAACTTGTTTTCAGGTGTTGAAATAAATCTCTTGGGTGCCTCTGATGTTGTTCTTTTAGAACTTTCTGACATGTTTTTATTAACTTTCAGTGATCCGTATTAATGAACCCTGTGTGTTGACCTCGTTTATTAAGAAATAGTGTGTTATCAGCTGATTTGTTAGTCTGTATACCAGAAGAAATTTTTTTTTTAAATGGCTCCTCCTTTTTATTACCTTATTCTGAGTCTTGAATGGGGTCTTACTGACCAGCAACATCTTATCAGACTCAAAGGCAGTGTAACATTGGGTAAACATAGCACAACTCCATGGTATTAGACACACACAAAAAAAAGGAAATGTATAATTCATTCCAACCACATAAAAAAGTATTTAGTCCTGCTGCTCAGATGATAAAATATTGATTACAGCAGAATGTATTTTTTGTACATAATTTTTTTAAACGGCTGACAATTTGAACAGCAACAGGTGCAAGGACTGTTCTCCGTTACTCTATGCTTCACACAATTGGGAGGTAATATGGGACCTTGAACTCCACCAGGTAAAATGCGTTAAATGGTTTTATTAATTGTACTTTTTAAAGCATTGACTAAATACCTAAATATTAAGAACCATGTAAAATATCTCCTAGGATCCTCGCTCCTAAATGACAACAGCCACCAAAGGCAAAGATAAGAGCTAAAAATAAGTGGAGTGCTTATCGTCTCTCTATTGCTAAGCTTCAGTTTTCCCACATATAATTCACGCTTACATTTTTTTTGTAATTTACCAGTATAATTTCTTTATTCAGACACTGAAAATTTAACTGCATACATTTCTTTTCAATAATTGTCAGAAAATGCAAAGGGGAATACAAAGTACAGTGAGTAAACAGAAAGCTTTCTCATGCCTAACATGTACCTTGGCAAAACATTATAAATTACCTTCCTCAGAAGGCTTAAGAGTCGGTAACACTCACAAATTCATGCTCAACAGTATCAAAAGCAAAACCAATAATATTCAATACAAAAAAAAAAAAAAAAAAAAGAGAATCCAGTAAACATTAATTCAAAATAATAAGATGGGGATCTGCCAGTCTGGATTTAATGGCAACGAAAAAGATCAAAACATGAATAGCATTTTTTTTTTTTTGTTGTGATTCTTGCAAGACAGTCAAACGTTAAAGAGACAAAAATCACAATTTAAGCACCCCTCAACACACCAATGTTACTTCATTACTCAGAAAAGACAAACAAAAGAAAAAAAAACATATACAGAGATGGTACAATATAGTTTTTGTGCTACTTTTTGGTTGTCTTGCGGATCAGCGCCATTCTCTAAAACAAAAAAAAACAAAACAGTTAGTCCAGCACACCAATAACACCAGCCTTGATGAATAACTTATCCCAAAAGCACAAGTTTTTTTTCCCCATACCTGTTTGTGAGCCTCTGTGGTACAAGCTTTCTTAAACTGTCTGATTTCATCCGATCCATAACCTGGAATCCACATGTTCCACTGACGCTCTGGTGAGAAACAAAGTTAAAGGCAATCAGCAACAAACGCCTTTGGATTATTAGCATTTGTTATATTTATTGTCACATATCTGATTTGGTGGCCTTTACCTATATGCAAGTACTAACATCCACAACAAGCATGGAAGAAAATATTACAAACCTGTTTTTAAGCAAAAATTGAATGCAGAAATTCAGGTTGTTTTTTTTCTCTCTTGTGTGATATAAGCTTAGGCTATTTAGTTGTAGTGTATCTAGATTATTTTTAGACATAAATTTAACACTTTAGCTGTTGCTTACTCTTTTGTGAAAGAGAAAAATTAAAATGCAGCAGGTAAGCGGACATGAGCAGGCCATGCAGTGCACACATGACCATGGAACTGCTTGGTTCAGTCAGGATAAAGGAACCCGTCCTGCAGCTACAGGAGCAGGAAAAGATAGCACATCAGTCAACTCTCCACTGAAAACGCTGCATGTTGTATGCATGACATACACTTCTTGGAAGGATGGACCTGCTCCGATTCACTGCTCAATGAGAAGTCTCTGGTGCCGAGTGTAGGTTAACTATAGCGTTCCTTGCAATGTGCATTCAATACAGCAGTGGAGGCTAGTAACAATAATACCTCAAATTAAATATTGAAATCCTTTATACTTTCTTTGGGCTCAGAGCCACAATTGAAGTGTGTTAGTAAGGCTCAGGTTAAATCGGGCTACATGCCCATGGACTGGACCTATACTCAACCAATTAAAGACTCTTAATTAAAACCTTTAGACATTGTAAAAATCACTTTCTAAAAACTCCATACAAAAAAAAACTAAACTGTTCAAATACCAAATGCTGCTTTTTCTGCTGAAAAGTCAAAAAAGGAAATTACCTAGATGTAGCTGTACATCTTTAACCTCCAGTGTATTGGATTTGCGATGACGTGCCAACTGACAAGCTGCTGTCACTACACTTTCTATGAAGTCATCTGCAATCTGAAGCAGCATCTGAAAAGAGATCCAAATGACCAGATATTTAAAAACCATCTGTAAAAACCAGGTAACAATCTGAAGTAAGCATTTAACAAGGATTCAGTGGAAATATAAAGGTTGTATGTAAAAGACAGATCTGTTATATCACAAAACAGATGCTAACTTTTTTGTTACAATGCTAAAAACAATGTTGGCAAAGC